CCGCCCCCGAGGGGAGCCCCGCGCCCCGTTGCCGGGGCGGCTGGTCCCGGCGCTGCCCCCGGCGGCGGACCGTCAAGGATAAAAATTTGCTACTCAGTATTTTTTTAATGTTTGGCTTTATAAATGCGTAAATACGTTAAGGAAAACAAAAAAGAAAAAAAAAAGCAGAAGGAAGAAAAAATAGTAAGGATACTTTTTTTTTTTCCCCCTCTCTCTATAGGGTAACTTAAATGTTGCACCTTATTTGGAATGGGTTTATACCGTGTCCCTAAGTCCCAGTTGGGAACTTGCACTTGTTGTCCGGGAGACCTGGGTGGGTTCAGGGTGAGGGCGGGGGGGGGCGAGGCGAGGGAAGAAGGGCAGACCCCAGCACCTGTGCTAGCACTTTACTGAGAACCGGAGCGTGGAGAGATGCACCCTGAGCCCAAACCTGCAGTGCCTTGAGCACCCGGGGATGCCGCTGGCTCCAGCGAGTTTTGGGTGTGCAAGGGAAGGAGGGTCAGACCCATTATGTAACCTTGCGTTTATTTTATGTATTTTTTTTTCGGCTAAGGTATACAGGTGTGGCAAGTGCATTTGTTCTCACCCTGTCTTTATTTAATTCAGTATGTTCCAGAGAGATTTTTCCCCCAACCTTGCTGTATAAAATGAATGTTTCTGCACTGAACTACAAAAAGAACCTTCCCCCTTTCCCCCAAGAAAACACAGAGCAACTCGTCAGCCTGAACTCATTTTATCCTAAATTCCAAATGACACAAACTGGAGGCCGTAGGTAAAACACCTCACTGCGCAATCAGAAACGATTAGACCAGTTGGGGTAAGTTTCCCATATGGGCTCTCCCCTCATCCCATGCTCAAATATCGCGATTTCCCTTTCTGGAGACAAAACCAGACACCAGATAATCACACAGATAAAGCTTTTCTAATAAGGCTTAAACCAAGACCTTGCCTAGATATTTTTAGTTTGTTGCCAAGGTAGCACTGTGAGAAATCTCACTTGAATGTTATGTAAGAGGTGAGACACAACAGCCTGGCAAGGAGCGAGTACGTGTCCGGGGTCTGTCAGTCCGTTCGGTGCATCTGCTGCTGCTGTTGCTACTGTTTGCCTCAAACGCTGTGTTTAAACAACGTTAAAAAAATCTTACTAGCCTACAGAGTGGCTGTATGTAAATAGTTGTTAATACATCCAATTAATGATGTCTGACATGCTATTTTTGTAGGGAGAAAATATGTGTTAATGATATTTTGAGTTAAATATCTTTTGGGAGGATTTGCTGAAAAAGTTGCACTTTTGTTACAATGCTTATGCTTGATACAAGCTTACGCTGTCTTAAATTATTAAAAAAAATAAATCCTGTCTGCAAGAAACCAGCTGTTTTAGAACAGTTTAGTATGTGATATATTAGAAATCAATCTTTATATTCGGTATTTTCCAGCACTCCATGAATTCTATTATCTAAATATTTCCACACTATTTTGTGATTAAAAAAATTCTTACTAAGGAATAAAAACTTTAATACACAAAATGGGGTTGTCTACTAATTACAGATCTTACGATAATACATAATAATGGGTGCATTGAGCTTCAAAATGTATGATTGTGTGACTGATGATAATCATTTAATACCTTTTCACATTTTTTTATCTGGGTTTGAATTTGCTTGGTTTCCTTTAACTCACTTTAGCAAACTCTGCTTTAAGATACGCATGTTTCACAAAGCAAAGTGTAAAGCATGCATGTGGAACATACATGTTTCTTCCTGACATCTACTTTTTTCCTCTTCTTTTTGCAAAATATTAATCTTTAAAATTAACACTTTACAGCCCTGGTGCTGCATGGGAGGTATCTTTGTTCACAATGAACAAACTTTATGATTTGCCTGACGATTTAATGACGTAACATAATCTCTGGAGGAATGATGTATGTCCCAGCTTGGAAATCCTCTAAGAAAAATGAACATGGGGGGGGGGGCAGGGCAGAGAGCAGGAGGGGGAATATAGTGGTGGAAAAAGGCAAGTAATTCACAGCATGGAAATGCAGCACCCGAAAGACTTCCACAGATTTAATATTTGAGCCGCAGATCACCTTTTCTTTCAAAAATTCTTCCTGTTCCAGAGAAATAAAATTAAGAAAACCCTCAAACAGTAGCCAATGTTTATGTAAGAGAGAAATACAAAGGAAGCGTTTCGTGCTCCCTCTACTGGTTCTTCAATACCAGTGACTCTGGAACTCGGAGCTACACTGACAATGAATGAAGTTGGAACGCAAACGTAATAGAAAACTGTAAGACTCGTGTTGATTCCAGCAGTCCTTTAAAATATAGGAGGAATTATAAATTGGGTGAAAAACAAGCGCTCCTTTTAAACTGTTCAAATGGGATAGTTAAGAAATAGGTATATGTCTTTTCACATGGAAGCTATAGTAAAATTAATTCCTATTAGAAGGAGACACAGGAAGGCTATCTGTACAAATACCAATGGACACATAGAAGTGCTTTTTCCATAAAGTGACGATAATGGACCAAAGGCCGCTACACTGCATCAGTATACCCATTGAAGTCCATTACTTGTGGGCTGAAATCGAAGCTTATCAAAGGTGATAGAAGAAAACGTGTCTGACTTCAGTTGTCTTTGGATCCTCTTCTGCGCCTTGTGTTACACAGGAATGAAAGTGAACTAGGTTCAACCCTTCAGCTCAGTAACTCGCCAACCACTTTACTTCAACCTCCATGCTTAAACCAGCTTAACGCTTGTTACGTGGCCGGAGTTACACTGGGACGAATGTGCTCATATACTCCAACTCCTCATACTAGGGAGGGAATCGGGCTTACTGAGCACGAAGCCCTTCCTACCATTTTACTATATGCGCAGAAAGGGTGGAGCCATAAGCACTTTTCAAAAAAATCGTACCCCTCATGAACAACGTGGGTAGTTTGAAACCTGACAGTGGGCCGGCTTTAAGTCTTTTTCAAATTTCCAGCCTTTGGGAATATGAATCAGTTTAGATTTCATTGGGCTATAAACCTAGATCCTTATAGGGTTTTATCAATTTCAGTATTTACCACGTACAATAACAGGAAGGCTTATTTTTATTAGCCCTTGAATCAAACGTGCCAAATGACTTCATGCCAAGTTGCAGCATCAGTGGAGTCTATTAAATTTTATTACATAAAACATAAAGACAAAATATGTGTATTCAGATAATACCAATGCCTAACAAAAGCAAACATGTGAAAAAAAAGGTTTGTAATTGAGGCTGATAACCCACTGCTGCTGGAGGCAAAAGGCAAATGACAGGAGGGACCCTACAGTCAGCTTCCTCAGATCCCTTTGGAGCCTAAATCAAATTGTATGTTTCATATTTTCTTGAGGTTAAAAAAAACATATAAGCAACGGACAAGAGCCTGCCAGGCTTAAATATGCATTCACTCATGTGCAAACATGTATTATCAATGCTTGTTATTTCCTACCTACTTTCTATAACTCTATGATATCTGGACTCTCACCTGCACTTCTCTAGCGCTAGGAGTGCAGGACTGGGTGCTACGTTTACTGTATACACTTGAGTACATACTCTATTTTCTCATAAACCACAAGATAAGCGATGTAAGCTGGCAAATATATTTTCTTAATCAATAAACTTCGAAAACATGTCTTATTTGTCCAGTATATTATAGTGGTGAGAAAGTGTGTTACATAAACACGGATGAGATTGTTAAGCCAATGGAAGGTAATATCATGTACCTCCCACTGAAGGGAATGGAAGTTTTATATTTGGATGGATTACAGTTACAGAACTCAAATTGACTATCAGCCCTGTTTAAGAAAGGTCTGACCTACCAATTAAGTCAATGTGGGCCCTTTTCTCAACTATAATGGTCTTTGGAGTAGATCTTAAGTCTATGGTTTGGGGCTTGTTTGTTTGTTTGTTTGTTTAATTTTCACTTCTAGTCAGGGCAGACTGAATGTCTTCGACATCCAGCAAGCCTGGGGACTGTATGCAATGTGTGTTTCAGCACCAGTAAACTTACAGTCTGCCCTGTACTCTGGGTCTCCCAATGTATTTCCTTTTCTCTTCAAACATCAGCTCCTGGAGTCATGTGATCTGCCTTCTTTGAGAAGTTTCCTGCCTGCTAGTTGCAAAAATGAGCTTGAAAGCAAGTAACAAAAATGCCAAATTTCCTCTCCATAAAAAACAAACAAACAAACAAACAAACAAACCTTGGATTTTTGAGAGCCAGTTTCACCCAAGAAAGTCTGAATCTCTATTTACTATGTCTGGTAATACCGCGGTCTCAGTAGCTCCCTGCAAAGCAGCAGAGAGAAGCCAGCGGTTCACCTGCCACTAGCAGCAGCCATGCATGTCCTAGACACGTGTGGGCTGGACGTGAGCAAGGGTGAGCTGCCACTGTCACTTCCCTCTCTGCATCCTTCCCGTGGCTACAGCATTTCAGTCTCCAGGGTTGTCAATCTGTCACAAACACTAAACTCATCGCAGGCTCAATTACGGCAGTGCCGCAGGCTGCACGGAGCTG